TTGTCTTTTGTGCAAGACATGGGTTTTCCTGGCTATTCTTCAGATGGATCATATTTATTATTTGCGAGGTTATCACCAAAAGTCGAGTATAATTAAACGATGAAAGGCCTTGACCATTTGATTTAGTTGATATTTAGCATTTCTAAATTTCATTTTTTTCTCCATTAAGATCATTATGCAAATCGACAGTGACCTATTTAAATCAGCCTTTGACTCCTACATGATTTATTTGGCCCTTATTTAACCATTTAAGGTTATATCTACCTTCGACGAACTAACTTTTAAAGTGACATATTTAGGTTACACTTCTATTTTTTATAGACAGCGAAACCTCTCCCACGAAGTTGCCTGCATCGACCTGACGCCGTTTGATGAGGCTCGCGCCATGGCAGCTGTACGATCCACCTGTGTTAACACTACTGCTTCTACAAACACCTCGCTGCCATATCTATGTACCGCTCAGTTTTGCTCATTATCTCCAACTTCCGCAAGCACTTCCACAACAGCACTTGACCCGGCCAGCACAGTGAATCCATCTGTCAGCCAGGAGCCTCGTCTTGCGGCTATTGGCCTTTGGCTCGGAGGTGGACTTGTTCTTCTCAGGCTTCCTAGCCTTGATTTGCTTCATGAGGAACCGCTTCCTGAAACCACAGCCTCCGCAGGCACTGCTCTTCTTCCCCGCTCCATCCTGATCGCCCAACTAGAGGAGACTGCTCATTTGTTTGCAGCAATGGGCGATGGAACACTTTACTATTATACCATAGATGTTACCTTACCAGGTTAGTGTTATCGATACCGCATATTAAAATATTTGTAGGGCCTCTTGACCTGGCTAAAGCTATTATCCCCATCTGAAAGCATTCCTGATCACATATTTTGCATGCTTGGTACACTTTTGGTTGTCCTATAAACATTACACCAAAACCGCTTCTATATCAGTTGCTTATGGTTTAGACTCTAAGCAGACGACTTTAATCATTATGACAGGTCTATCTCTGTTATAAATAGCCAGACATATACAAATAAACTACTTCTGTTACGACTGGCACGTTAAGCCAAGAAAAAATAATTAGGTCATGCCTTGCATTCCCAGCTATTTAAAAATGCTTTGTTTGCCTGT